GCTGGATTTGAATTCATGAAGATGAGTCTTCCTGATTCCAAGCTCAGGGCTCTAGCCACAGTACCACCTAGCTGCCCCAATCATGAAAACATGATGTCTGATGAAACTGTCCCTCCCCTGGTTCAGGGAGTAGAAGCTGATTGGATTGATCCATGTTTCTCCCAACATGACTCAGGGAATAAACCAAGGAGTCCCTTCTCTCCCCTTCCCCTGGTCTCTCTCTGCTCCCCTCCTCCCCTCATCTTATCTCCACCGGCTATTTAGCAGTCATGGCCTAAATCAAAGGCCCCAGCCCTTGGTGGAAGAGGCCATCTACCCTGATTCATGAGGACCACACTAGGGCAAGGAGGGACAAATACCATAGAATAAATGGGAGTCAAAGAAGGAGCCCAGCACCAGAAATGATCATCGAGGTGGGTAGCAGCAGCTCAAGAGGTGCAGGGAGACACAGCAAAACATACTCCGTGAAACAGCGGTTGCCACCAACTCCAGAAGCTTTCTGTGCCAAGGGTTTGCGCCCCTAACACCTCGTCTTTCTCTAGGCTTTGCTGCAGCTATTGACTGTACTGCCCAGTGTCCGGTGCTGCCTTATGGCGCCACAAGCTGGGGTCTTGTACTATTAGTGAATCTGCATGCATCTACAGCTTGCCTCGCCAACAATGTCAATCAACACAGCATTTATGAAGCACCTGCCATATGCCAGGCATTGTGATCTATGCTGGGGATAAAAAAGAAAGCAGAAAACAATATGTATGTATAATTCCTGCCCTCAGAGAGCTTATATTCTAATGGGGGAGATAACATATGTGCATAAGTGATAGAACAGAATAAACAGCCATCTGTGGGCATGCAAGGCAGGAATCCACTCCTTTGGACAGTCTGTACCTCTGACATATAATAGGCACCATTGATTATTGTTGTATAAGATGCACAACTGATATGTTTTCTCCCCTCCCTCCCACTAGAATGTATGCTCCCAGAGGGTAGGGATTGCCTTGTTTGCTTATATTTGTATCCCCAGCACTTAACACAGAGCCTAGCATAGAGTAAGGGCTTAATAAATGTTATCTTCTAATAAATGCTTTATTTAATAAATGCTCTATCTATTTATCTAGGTCTGATACTCTCAGGGCAGGCTGGGCCTCTCCCAGTTCCCCTACAGAAGCCCCAACCAAAAGGTTGGGTATACAGTAGGTACTAAAAGTGTACCTGTTGCATTGAATGGGGAAATCAGATCGAGTGAGGAAAGCTTCTTCTTAAAATATAGCAAGCTGTGGGATTTAAGAAAATAATTTAATGGAATCTCCTTCCTTTCTTCCTTCTCTCTATCTATCCATCCATATCTCCATCCTTCCTTCCTTCTCAATAATTTATTCTTGGTAGTTGCCATTGGCCAAGAGTCCGATAACCAAGGCTTCAAGCCTGGCTTTCTGGCCGTGTAATTCCATTTAGGAAGCCTGAACACTGCAGGGTCCAGATTCCTGGGGCAGCTGGGGTGGTGGGGAAGAGGCCGGAGGGTTGTCCCTAGGAGCAGGAAAAAGGCCTAGCCTTCCCCAGGCCCCGGTGCTTCCCCCTCTCCTCTGCCTGCCTAGGCCTCTCCATCCCAGGCTGCCTGTCTGGGAGGGGCTCCTTTTAATTAATACCAGAACTGGGCCAACCACTGGGGCCAGTGACACTTGTTTTCAGGTCATCTCCTCCTAATAGGCTCACCCTGGGAGGGGTTTACAGCTAATTGACAGCAGAGATCAGTTAATGAGGCCCACAGGCCTGGGGTGCCAGGGAACAAGGACAACCAACTAAAACAGAACTCTTTCATCCAGTGGTTTTGTGATTTACACAAAAAGAGAAAAGCAAGCTGGAGATAATCCGTGTCAGAAACTCTGCTCCCATCTGTCAAGGCCGGACCCTAGCCGTGAGCAGGAGGAGGCACTGAGGAAGGGTTACTCTTATCAAGTGAAGATCACAGAATCTGAGAATCAAGGAGGGCCCACCGAGTGCTCCCCAGGAGGTCCAGCCTTGGGTCTTGGGGCCCTAGAGGAGGAGGAGAAAAGGATGGAGAGGAAGAGATGAAAGAGTAGGAAGGAGGGAGAAGACATAGAGGAAGGGAGGAAGAAGAGGAGAAAAGGAGAGAAGAGGTGGGAAGAAGAAGAAGGGAAGGGTAGGGAAGGAGGGGAAAGAGATAGAGGAAAGGGGGAAGGGAGGGGGAAAGGGGAAAGAGTCAGGAGGAAGGGAGGAAAGAAGGAAGAGGAGAAGGAGGAGGTGAGAGAGGAGGAGATATGAGGAGATACAGAAACCACAGAAGGGAAGGAGGAAACAAGAAGTTAGAGATGGAAGAGAAATGTAAAGGGAAAGGAAGACAGGGAAGAGAAGAAGGAGGTGTGGCAGTAAGAGACACTCTCAAGAAGATTATTATAGTGTTATCTGGGACTGGGAGAGAAATTTCCAAGACAGGAAAGAATCAGTGGTTGTCTTCAGGACCCTGGTTGCCCAGCTTGGTGTGACCTACTGGCACCTCCCAGGACTCCAAGTTGGGACAAATCCGTCATCACTATTCCTAGTCTATTGTCACATTCTGTCTTCCTAAGTTATCCTAGACCTGCTTGTGGACACACCCTGAGACAGGGTTGAGGAAAAGGAGCCCAGAACAAGTACTGGTAAAGTAGATTGGCTGAGGGCAGGGACTAGTGTCCTTGGCTGGGGGTTTTTCATAGCATTAGAGTCCTCTCAGAGTTGGAAGGGATCTCAGAGCCCATCTAGGCCAATTCTTTTATCTTAAGATGAGGGTGACTGTCATCAAAGGGGGAGGAATCAGAAAGTGAGCAAAAGGGAATACAGTATAAGGAAAAGCCTGACATTACCAAAGATCTCAGGAAGAAGAAAACTCAGATAAAGACCTTGAGTATAAACAGATACACCAACGGGGAAGAAAGACATTAATAACAGAAAGGAATATGGCCTCTAGGTCAGCTCAGTGAATCCAGGCATCTATGAATAAAGGTAAAAGGAAAGTGAATCCACATGAGATGAGACCGATAGGTGGCGCCATAGTGCACAGAGCGCCAGGTCTACTGGGATCCAATCCAACCTCAGACACATAGCCACATGACCCTGGGCAAGTCACTTAACTTCTGTTTGCCTCCGTTCTCTCAACTGTAAAATTGGAATATTTATAGCACCTACCTCCAGGGTTGTTGTGAGGATCAAATGAGATAATTGTAAAGTGCTTAGCAAGTGCCTGGCACATAGTAGGCATTATACAAATGTAGGCTATTATTATTATTATAATGATGATGAACCATGGCAGCCTGTGTGTGTGTGTGTGTGTGTGTGTGTGTGTGTGTGTGTGTGTGTGATGGAACCCAGCAGGATGTTCCCAAATGGTTTAAAAGAGAAATAAGAATTGTGAAGCAGAATCTATGGCCTGCACTGCAGATATAATTGGCAGAATAGAAAAATTTTAATCCATCATGGCAAGAATCACAAAAAAAAAATGGTGGGGGGAGGGGGGACAACTAATTGGGAATGTAAATGCAAATACACAGAAGTGAAGGCTAATCTAGAAGGAGAGAAGCAAAAAAGCATGATGTTCCAAGAAAACATGATCTCCAGACAAGCCGAAATTACTGATCTTGAGAATAGGCTGTAGAGAGACAAATAAGAATCATAGGTCTCCCAGAGAACACAAAAGCTTAAGAAAAAAATCTGATAAAGTAACTGATCACCAGAATGCAAGAAACAATATAACTGTACAGAACTTTGGAGCACGTTAGTAAAGCCTCTGAGCAAATCTGTTAAGCTCTAAGCCTCAGTGCTTTCAGAGCCACTGGGAAAAAGTACTGTAAAACTTTTTTGGACGTGGCCAAACACGGGAATCTCTTTTGCTTGACTATGTATATTGTTACAAGGATTTTGGTTTCTTCCAGAGGAAGGGAGGGAAAAATACCTGATAATTTTTTTCAAAAAGAAGGTACAGTGAGTATTTCCAAAGGGCCAGATAAATATGAGTTGCTCCTGCTGCTGTTACTAATATCTCATTCTTCTCTCTTTTGATGGGGTTCAGATAAAAATGGTCCTACGACAAGTTGTTATCCGGCTAATTTTCTTTTATTAGTATTATTTACATTGATAAATATTATGGATGACAATTATTGGTATTATTCATAATATAAATGATATGTAGTAGTCATCATTGCTGGTGCATAGAATACCCTGATGGAGGCAGGCATAGCCTTTGTTCAGCTGGACAGAGGATGAGAACTATGTGGTCTGGAAGGCAGGACACCTGAGCTCCTCGCCTGGCTTGGCCACCCACTCACCTGGCCAAGGGCCCAGACCACTGAGCTAATCATTTCCACCACTCCAGATGATGTCATAGCCTTCCCTCCCAACTCAACACTGACTCTTCAGGAAGGAAAGAACCAAGAAAGTGGCAAGGTCAGGGTTTTTTTTTTTTTTTTGTATATTAACCATTCTAGGCTAGCTCCTTCTTTGCCCTGGTAAGGATGGGTCACCCTAGAGGCCAAAGACAGATCTGATTCTCCCTCCATTTTTAGCAGTCAGTCCTGCCTTATTCACTAAACTACATCTGGGACTTTTCAGTCAATAGTCAAGAAAGATGTTTGAAACACCCACTGTGTGCTGCTGGGTACTAGGAATACAAATGCCTTCATGCAAAGATGCCCTCCCCTCCCCATGGTAAGAGAGGTACTTCTCCTCTGCACCAACATCCTCCATCAGGTACACCGTATGATCTACTTTCTTTTGTGTAGTCCCTGCCCCCCCATCCCCCCCCAACCACCAGAGTGCCCTCTTCTGTATTAAAGTAGGAAAACCTCGCCTGAAAGCAGATGAAAGCCCTTCTCCCCAGTGCCCCTTCGGAAATCGGCTCAGGGCACTCCTAGAGAAGGATGGGAGGCATATGTGTTCAAGAAGATCGAGATTAGGGAGACAGAGAAAGCAATTTCAATACAACCAATAAAATGTAAACAAGTGTTACCCACTGCGATTGAGACAGCGCTTATGACGGCTCCCAAGTATCCCTGGATGAACTTGGATGCAGGCAAAGGCTGAAAAACAGAGAGAGAATTTTCAGCTTGGTACCTGGAACCCTGGAGAGCAGATTTGACATTATCACCAAGATAATCACAATTTTACATTTACAAAGCACTTGTCATACATGACTTCATTTGAGTATGACAATAATCCTGTGAGGTAGACACCACAGAAGGACTATATTATGCCCATTTCTCAGAAGAGAAAATGGAGGCTTAGAGAGGGTGATTTGCCCTGGGTTACTGGGCTTGCAAGCATTAGAGGTGGCATGGGGGCCCAAGTCTGTCTTGACTCTGAGCCAAGACACAAAGTATAGCACAGGAGAATGGGAAAAAGCTAGCAGAAATCAAAAGCTAGAGATGTAACTGTGGGGGACACAAAGATATAATAGAGTGGAGAGAGTGCTAGATTTGGAGTCCAAGGTCCTGGGTTCAAACCCCCCTTCAGTGGGGGGTATCCACTAAGCTCTTCTTACTCTTGTCAGTGAGAGAGATAACATTTGCTGTTAATATTAATAATAAGAGCTGACATTTATCATAGTGTCATAAATTTAGAATTAGAAGGAACTTCAAAAGTCAGCTGGTCTAATCCCTTTAATTTACAGAAGAGGAAACTGGGGCATAGAGATGTGACTTGACCAAGGTCACACCACTAGGAAGTGAAAGAACTGGGGTTAAAATCCAGTTGTACTGAGCTGAAATCCAGCACTCTTTCTAGGCAGGAGGTAGCAGAGCCTAGATATGACCCCAAATCTAATGGTCTTTTTACTGTTCCTCACAAAGAGCACCATACTTCCAGACTCTTGGGGTCCTAAGACCACCACACTCTTCTGACAATGAGGATAATATATGACAAATCCATTCCCATTAAGGAGTTAGGGACTTAATATGTTCCCCTCTCCTAGGAAGACGTGGGATAAAGGGAGCAAAGGTCCATCCACAGGAATAAATCACTAATGGTGGAATCTTAGGCATCAGTCTGTGGAAAGAGAGGGATGACTTTCACAGCACAGTAGGAAAGAAACAAGTATTCTCCAGCCTTGGCACAAGGCTGGTCTTGCCCAGGAGCCAAGGTTGGCCAGTCCCAGTCCATGCTGTCCCCACAGCCGCGGCAGGAGTGGGGCTGAGCGTGCTCACCTTGGTCGCATTGCGGTTTGCATAGTTGACGCAGGCATTGTGACTCTGGTTCAGCCACTGCAAAGAGACAGATGAGAGTCAGCAGGGAACGTTTCTGGGAAGCACCCAAGCAGCACTTTTTCTGGAAATGAAACAACTGGGAAAAAAAGTGGGGGACCAAATTCCCTACACATGTAATGGAATCAACATCCAATGCAAGGAATTAAAAGAGTAGCAGGCTCTGTAGCAACCAAACGCAGAAGAAGGAAGAAAGCAAACAAGCATTTATGATGCACCTACTGCGTGCCAGGCACTGTGCTAGGGAGCCCTTTACAATTATTATCTCACAAGAGCCTTGGGAGGTAGGTGCTATTATCTAGGATTTACAGATGAGGAAACTGAGGCAGGCAGAGGCTAAGTGACTTGTTCAGGGTCACACAGCTAGTAAGTGTCAGAGGCTAGAGTTGAACTCAGGTCTTTCTGACTCCAGGCCTAGTGTTCTATCTATTATACCATCTAGCTGAGCAAAGGTCACACAGCTACTAAGTGTCTAAAGCTGGATTTGAACCCTGATCTTCCTGACTCCAGACACCTACCTGAAACCCCTTCTGCCAAGGCAGATCAACTACTTTGTGATTTATATTCTTAGAAAATTGCCTGAAGGGAATAAGAGATTAACTAACTTCTCAAATGGCCCAGCAAATACCCAGAGGCAGGACCTGAGGCCAGGTGCTCAGGCCTCTTAAGACCAGTATTCCACCAGGCCTGTGAAATGACATGCCCAAAGTCACACAGGCAGTAAGTGGCAGACCCGGAATTTGAACCCAGAACTCCTCTTGTCCTCGTTCTTCTGGTTCTGCTTTCTCTACTTGCATGAGTTCATGCAAGCCTTCTCACTGTGCTCAGAATTCTTTGGATTTGCTGCTTCCTACAATGCCAAAAAAAATGTCACATTCTCATCCACTACCACCGGCTGAGCTGGTCCCCAATCAATGGGGTCACCTTGTTTCCAGGTATTTTGCTGCCACAAAAAAGTGCTGTTTTGAATATTTTGGCCTATGTAGGGCCTTGCTTACTTTCTTGGTACAACAGTACCAAGGGGTGCTCAATAAATGTTGAACTGAACTCCTTTCTCAGGGCTGAGGGACACAGAATCATGTGGGAGTGGTCACAGGCCCTGAATGTCTTAAGAACAGCTCAGCTTGTGGAAGGAGGAGGTTAAGTGGAAACCCCTTACACTCAATTTCTTTAGGGGAGTGTCTCTCTCTCTCTCTCTCTCTCTCTCTCACACACACACACACACACACACACACACACACACACACACACACACACACACACACACACACACACACACACACACACACACACACACACACACACACACACACACACACACACACACACACACACACACACACAGAGTTTAATTCTCAATTAGCTGCAAGAGAGCTAAAGCCTGCACTACCCAAAAGAAAGACTTTTTAAAAACTGATTGCACCTGGTTTTCGAATGCATTTGTAATGTGATTGGCCAAGAGAGGCAGCCCAGGTGGTGCTGAGGGGATGGGGGGAGACGGCCTTACCTTCCTCAGTAGTCGCAGCCTGGGCTGCAAGTCAAATGAGTCTGCCCTCCCTAAACCTGTGCTGACTCTAAGGATGAGGAACAGACTGCATGGAATGAGGGATCTGTTGCCCCAAACGCCATTCTTCCTCTAAGTGGGAGCTTGGGGGCTAGAAGAGCCTCAGGAGGGGATTCAGTGCAAAACCCCGATTTCAGGTAGCACTGCATGGATGGGTCAGGATAACACTTGATGGTTCTCAACACTTAATGGACACCCCTCAGGGTCCAAACCTCCCTGCTCCTTACCTATGACCCTGTGTGCCTGTGTATGTGTGGATGTGGGTGGTGAAGTAAATAGAGCACTGGGGCTGGAGTCAGGAAAACTCATCTTCCTGAGTTCCAAACTGGTTTTAGACACTTACTAGCTGTGTGACCCTGGGTTAGTCACTTAACCTCTGAGTGCATTAGACAATCTTCTAAGACTCAATTACAGAGAAGGTGGTGACCTGCATTGGCAATGGAGCTTCCTCCCTATACTAATGAAATTACAAGTCCAGTCCTTATTCTTTAACTAAGTACACGCTATCTCTTCTAGCACTTAGGCAACACCCATTTATTAAGCACTTACTTACCCTGTGATAAGCACAGGGAAAGGCAAGGACAGCCCCCTGCCATAAAGGAGTTTCCATTCTAGTGGAAGAGACACAGGTAAACTCTATCTACACAGGGGGATATCTCATCAGAGGAAAGCACCTACAGAGGAGAGGAACCAGGAAAGGCCTCCTCCTAAGGTGGGCTTGGAGGTGAGACCTAAAGGAAGCCAGGAAGCAAAGGTGAGAAGTGAGAGGATTCCTGGGAGGGAGGGCAGCTGGGGCAAACAGAGGGCAGGATGACTTCAGTCTTTGGGTCCCCAACAATGTCTGGTACAGAGCAGGTATTTAATCAAGGCTTGTCAATTGATTTTTCTCTTTAATGGGGCTACAAAGAGAGGCTGTCAAACAGAATAAGGAGGGCTTCCCACGCAGGAAGTGCTTACATAGGTATTTACTGTTGAATGTTTGGGACCCACCTCCTGGAGGATTCTGGGAGAGAGTTACCTGCCAGAAGATGGTGGAGGCCAGGGTCTGGTTGGGCAGGAGGAGGCCAACAACCTGGAAGAGAGAGGAGAGAATAAAGACACTACTGCTTCTGGTCTTTGGGGCCCGGGGGCTCTGGCTTTTAGAGAAAGGGTTGGGGAGGCCTCTGAGACCCCTCCTCAAATGCCTTCCTATGGGAGAGACTGGGTATTGAAATACAAAGAACTCCACTCTGTGAGTCATGAAAGTGCAGGAAATAACATTCCCTCTATCTCTGATGACTTCTTGTGAGGAGTAAATGGGGTAAGTGATGAGAATATTACATAGAAAGTATGGCCAAAAGGCAAAGTGCAGGGGGAGGGGCATAACTGTATTATTTACAATAATTTCTTTATAATAATTGTTCCAAGGTTTAGCTGCTTTAACCAGGATATCGTTGGTTTTGAAATGATACAATGAAAGATGTCGTTGAGATGATATAATGAAAGATGTCAATCATTTCAGTCATTTCAGTCTGATTCCTCATGGGGTTTTCTTGGCAAAGATACTAGAGTAGTTCCTTCTCCAGCTCATTTTACAGGTGAGGAAACTGAGGCAAACAAGGTTAGGTGACTTACTCAGGGTCACACAACTATCCATTGTGCCACCTAGCTGCCCTGTGATGAAAGATAGCTAGTACAAATATGATCTGAAGGCCAAGCACACGCTTAATGAGAAGCTGCTCGTGGTGCAGTAGATAGAGCACTGGGTCTGGAGACAGAAAACCTGAGTTCAAATTCAGCCTCATACACTCACCAGCTATGTGATCCTGGACAAGTCACTTTCACTCTGTTTGTCCCAGTTTCCTCAATTGTAAAATGGGGATAACAACAGCACCCATGTTGAGATCAAATGAAACAGTATTGGTAAACAAACAAAAAAAATAGCTTAGCACAGTGCTTGGCACATAGGAAGCATGAAATAAATTCTAATTCCCTTAGTGTCAAGGTTGGCCCGACAATCTTGACATTAGCCACTAGAGCCTGGCTAATGTATACATTGATGAAGAAGAATGTAACTAATTGGTTTGTCAATTAACCTTACAAATATATTTGAAGAACTGATAATTACCAGTCCTGAATGGTGCTTCTACTGGTAATAATCCTGAAAATTTATATTTGTCCTAATGAGATAGGCCATTAACGCAGCCTTTGGTGGAGGTCAAGATTAACTGGCTGATCTTGACATCAGCCAGAGTTTGGAATTGTAACAGATGCTTCCATACATATGACAACTTCACCTTTCGCCTGTGTTTGGGTGCCATGTACCATATACAAAATACAATCGCATATGGGGAAAACTTGTACAGCCTCAGCCACATATTGACTTATTTATTATTCTGATACATAAAGTTGCTCTCTTGGCAAGAATTTTCCACAAGGAACAAGTGTAAACCTCCAATACTGTATAGTGCATCAAACTGTACACATTGTCAGCCACATTAGTGAACCATGTTTTAAACATTAAAAAAAATACTTTAAATGGTTCAGACACACACACGTACTTCTTGGCCCACACCGATTTAAATATTATAAGCTTAAAGCCAACTTACAACTGCTATTAGAAACTACCCTGTAGTATTCAACTCCCCAAATGAAAATGAGGCTGGAAAAATGTTCTGCTTCTGGGACTTTCTGTCTGGGAGACCCTGGGCAAGCCACGTAACCTCTAAGTGCCCTAAGCAACTAGGTCTTTAAAATGACAAGTTGCAAAGATGGAGTGGATCTACCTCAGTTGAGGGCATTTCCTCGTGGGGGAGAGCTCTCTGGGCCACTGACGTCACAAGTCCAGTCCTACATCCTATCCTAGCCCTAAAATTATGAGATCCAAGGTCAATTTTGAGCTCTGGTCCTACAAGTGCCATTACACAGCTAATTTCAAGTCAGTCAGTCAGTCAACAAGCCTTTATTAAGGGCTTACTACGTGCTAGGCACTGTAGTCCCTGTCCTCAAAGAACTGCCTTTCTAACAGAGAGACAACATACAAATGCTTATATACACACAAGAGCCACAAGTGTAAATGGAAAGTAATCACTCCTATGGGAGCAAGAAAGTCAGCCTCTTAATCTCTCTAGGCTACAAATTCCTTTCTCTATAAAACTGTGGAGTTAGATGGAGAAGTCATTAAGGCCCTTTCCTTGTTTTGAATTCCTTCCTCTTGAATATAATGTGACATACATAAAGTTATTGATTATTTTGTGGCTTATTCTTTAGAGACCCAGGACCTTCTTCTTTATCTCCCAGTCTGAACCAAGAGGGAAAATGGAGAGGGAAGGAGAGAATACAGAGAGAGTGAAAGGGAGAGAGAAGGAGGGAGGAGGGAGAGGGGAGGGAGAGAAAGAGGGAGAAAGGAGAGAAAGAGAAAGAGAAGAAGGAAGGGAGGGGGAGGAGGAGAGAGAATTTGTGCCTCTGGTTATATTCCAAAGCTAAATTAAATATAAATGTGGTTTTTCATTAACTGTTGTTAGGTATTATCTGTATCTCTGATTGCCTTTACATGGTGGGGGTAAGGAGGAATGGGTAAGGAAAGGGAGACTTGCTTACAAACACCACAAACCAGTGTTTTCCATACACAGGTTCTTGGCTAACCCAAGACATCTATGCCTCTGGGTATCTCTGCCTTGGTCAGATGCTCAGGCTGGAAGCTCTGGCTGCTTCAGCTACCCAAGGACAAGGCCCTCACTGGGACACACCCTTTCAGAATCAATGACTTCCATAAAGGTGGAAAATGAAGGGGATTGGCCAGATGCCCTCTAAGGTCATTTACCTAGATCTCAGATCCTGTAACATACGGGCCAGAGTAGTCAGAAGATGCAGGGCTTAAAGGATGAATAAGATTGGTGAAAGGTGTGGGAGGAAGGCAGGCTGAAGTCTGGGAATTGGACATAGCATGAGAAAAGAAAAGTATGGCGACAGGAATAAGCATCATGTGCCCCCCAGACTTGGGGTCAGTGAGGAGATAGGCCTGGTTGAAGTACAGGTTATGTGCCAGGGAGTAACAAATGTGATGCCCCAAGGTGTGAGGCCAGCAATGCTGAGCCTGGAGTCAGAGAATCCCAGCTGTGTCACTTACTAGCCCCTCTGGGCCTCAGTTTCCTCATTTGTAAAAAATAAGTAGTTGGGGGGGCAGCTAAGTGGCGCAGTGGATAGAGCACCAGCCCTGGAGTCAGGAGGACCTGAGTTCAAATTTGGCCTTGGACACATAACACTTACTAGCTGTGTGACCCTGGGCAAGTCACTTAACCCCATTGCCTAACAAAAACCAAAAAAAAAAAATCAATGCTGAGCCCCAACTGCTCACGACTGGAGAATGAGTGAGTCAGTCCTTCACAATGTCCTTTAATACATCTAGGTGGCCCCATGCTAGAGCATTGAACCACCCAGTGCTTCATCCCATCCCTTCCACTAGGACAGCAGGCTGGCACCTTGCCATCTGTCCTGTCCTTTGTGTATGCCCAATCCATTCCACTTTCCACTTCTTGCTGAGGTGTGTGTGTGTAATCATGGCAGTTTTACCATGGAAAGGCTCTGGAAAGGCATGACAATCCGCTTCCCAATGGCTCCACTCACAAGTTCTGTTACTCCAAAGCTTCCTTCCCTGCCCACCACTCTCTGATATGCTCTCTCCCCGCCCCCACACATACACAGAGCACCTAATCCAGTTGAATATAAGCTCTTTGAGGGCAGGGACAGCCTCTCTTTTGTCTTTGTCTCCCTGGTGCCTAGCCCAGAGCCAGCCCCCAAATAAATGTTTATTGACTAACAGGGTCCCTGCCCTGGAGGAGCTCAGAGTCTGACTGGGGATAGCGAGGGCAGCCAGGCACTGGCAGTTTTATCCCCTATTAGGCAGAAACACAGAACCATCTGCACACTCAAAAGAAGCAAGAGGAGATATTTTATAACTTCCCTTTAAAAAGAAAAAAAAAAGCCCAAATCTAAAATAAAGTGTTCCCTTCAGTTCTCAGATGTATATCTCTGGGTGCAATCCACCCACGCTCCCGCTCGCTGCCCTTTCCAGAGCATGGCGGGTGGGGAGGGGGAAGGGAAGATAGATGGGAGGGGGACAGCTTCACTGGGGCTGCGGCAAAACAGGGCTGGGCTTCTCCTGCCCCTGCTCTATAGTCCAGATAGTCTGAAGCTGGGGGGAAGTGTGGGGGGAGTTGGGGAGTTGGAGAGACCCTTGGGCTATAAGGGGATGATGGCGATGATGGAAATGATGTGTTATAAGAAGACAAAGGAGTCAGGCAGGAGACACAACCATTAGCCCAGTCAATTCAATTCAATACAACAAGCACTTATCAAGCACCCCCCCCAAGTCAGGAAGCCCTGAGTTCAAATTCTCCCTCAGACACTTATTAGCTGTGTGACTTGGGCAAACTACTAAATTCTCTTGGCCTCAATCTCTTAATCTGTGAAATGGGGATAATAAGAGCACCTACCTAAAATGATTGCTTTGAAGATCACATGAGATAATATATTAAAGTGGGGCAGCTAGGTGGCACAGTGGATAGAGTATAAGCCCTGGAGTCAGGAGGACCTGAGTTCAAATTTGACCTCAGACACATAACATTCACTAGCTGTGCGACTCTGGGCAAGTCACTTAACCCCAATTACCTCACTTTAAAGTGCTAGCAATTTTATTAATATGTAATGATACTTTATAACCTAGGAGTCATCCTGGATTCCTCACTATCTCTCACCCCTTATATCCAATATGTTATCAAGGCCTGTCAATTATTTCTTTGCAGCTTCTTGTAGATTTCACTTCTACAGCTTCTCTTGTAGATTTCACACACCCCACAACCTCTTGTTGATTTCATACACCCCAAAGCCTGTCTTGTTGCTTTCACCTCTGCAGCCTCTCTTGTTGCTTTCACCTCTACAACCTTTCTTGTTGATTTCACACACCCCACAACCTCTCTTGTTGCTTTCACCTCTGCAGCCTCTCTTGTTGATTTCACCTCTGCAACCTCTCTTGTTGATTTCATCTCTGTAGCCTCTCTTGTTGATTTCACCTCTGCAGCCTCTCTTGTTGAT